CAGACTCTTTCACAGATGTAGATTTTTATTTGTGGAATCAGGCCCTTAATTCTTTTTTGTTAAGTGATTGAAATGCAAAACACAAATTATAAAGGCATAATGTTATCTTACGGTTTATTTGTTTTAAGCCATACATAGAAGAGAATGTGTTTGGAATTTTGAAAGAGAATAACCTTTATATTTGTATAAAGGTATGTCTATGATAATGTCGAATAATCCACTTCCAGTGGGAGTAAAAAAGTCAGTACAAAGCATACAGACACAGAATGGTGTCATTGGCCCTTGAGCACTTTCCCATATATTCCTATGGATTGAGGAAAACCCAAAATATAAAGGAGAGAAATGCTGAGGGCTGGGCTTTGTGAATGTGTGCATATAGGCTGTGAAAGGAAAAAAAACGAACCTGAAACTAGTTCTGCTGTCAGATTCAAAGGTTCTTGCAGTGCTGCAGCTGTGTCTCACATATATTGGGTCTAGGCCATATTAACTGTATGGGTTTGATTACGGATATGTAAACAAGTTCTTGGGTCAGTAAGCTATATCCTAGTGACAGTAGGTGTGGCCTTGCTGGTCACACAGAGATTGGAAGGGACCCTGCGAGACAGAAGTTGAGTCAGCTCTCTCCGGCGGTGCCTGTCAGCCACCGTGCAGCACTGGCCGACAGTGGCGCTGCCTGGTTAGCGTCTCGCCTGCTTTGCTCCACCGTAACTGTGTAAACGGTAGGTAGAGGGAGGGCAGGAGGAAGAGGTCTAAACCTTTAAAATCTTCTGAATTTAAAACCAAAATTAAGCAAACAGAAAACATATATGCTAAGTTTTGTTCAGAATGTAATGATGTGTTGCTTATTTGCAGAGCTTCCAGAAAGTATGTATCTTGAATTCAAATGTGGTGTTCAGATTCAGTTGGGGTTTGCAGCTGAGTTTTCCAATGTCATGATAATCTACACGCGAATAGTAAAGCAGCCACCTGAAATAGTAGTTTGCAGAGCCTACGTTACAGACTTCGCACTCGTAAGTGCTTCCTGTTGGTGTCTCGGTGATCTCCCTCCACTGAAGTTGAAAATTGTCTGGTCTGTCTGTGCTAAAGTGCATCTTTTGTAACAAAATTGGTCTAACCTGTTGAAATCGGGTGTTTACATGCCTGTGTCTGTACAGACACACACATTTACTCTTTTTTTAATGCATATTTTTAATATCTATAGAAATAAAGTAAAATTAATCCGGGGTCATCTTTTTCAAAGTCTCCTTTGCTTTTCATACTCTAATATCAAGTATTTATTAAGTTTAATTAAAGAAGTTAAATGTCAGTAGCTCCTAGGTGAGCTGAGGACACATCTACCTTGCAGGAACATGTTTCTTAGGCTTTAGTTTACAGTTCTTTGCACCTGGGTGATCCTGTCCAGTTCCATTGATGCTGATCTCAGTAAAGTGAAGGATAAGAATAAACCAGAAAGCTCCTTGGGGCAAAAAATCTTTTTTTGATGTCTATGGAAGAGGACATGGGGCAGAAAACCTTTTTAGATAGAACAAACAGAATGCTTCTGATGCTTTATGAATAAAATATTTGAGGTCATGTGCATAATAAATACATGTATTTTTAGCCCACAGATTTAGTGTTACAGTACTGTACTTCACAGTAAAAGTTAGGTAAAAAAAAGCAACCCTGAAGCAAGCACAGCAAGTTTGACAGGAACCGTCAGCAAAAGTGGGTAACCTACTCAAATGTAACCCCTTCTGCCTGTGACTAACAGTGGTTTCAGCAGCTTTTGTAAGTAATCCAAGACTGATGTTTTCTTTCCTTTTAAGAAGGAGAAAGTGCTGACTTTTTATAAATAAATACCGCTAACTATTTTATGATCTACAAATTCTGTACCTTCAATTAAGTTCTTATTTCTTTCTTGCAATAGGACCTAGATGTGGATCCTAAAGAGGCAAATAAAAGAACTCCTGAGGAAACCGGCAGCTATTTAGTATCAAAGGACCTTCCCAAACACTGCCTTTACACCAGGCTAAGTTCGCTGCAAAAGCTAAGGGTTAGTGCATATTATTCCTCACAAGTTTTGTTCAGATAATTTAGATTAATCGTGTTGCTTTGCAGTTCTGTTGTGGTAGCTGTGTATTGTCTGCATAATAAGTAACATGGTGTTTGCAGAGAAAAAATGGCTAGTCACAGAATTTAGTGACTTCAGCTTCTTAGCTGAAAAATAAAATCTGGGGAATCAATGCATATGCAGTCCTGATACTGTTGTGCAAGGCCCTGTGTATTTCCTGAAAAAGTTCTGAACTGAACTTTGGCAAGATGATTATTTTTGCGAAGATTATCTGTTGCACACTGTGGGGATGTTGCTATGCCCTGAGTACAAGAAGAATGTCACCTGAAGCAGAGCTGCACCTTACAAACTCATTCGTAGGAGATGAAAATGTCACATACCCTTTCCTTCCATTCCAACCTGTGCTCTTGGGCATGCAGTTTTTGAGAGGCTCTCACTTCAACATGCTGTGGCACCGTTAAGGTTATCTCTGTGTCTTTGCGTCATTAATGCCTGTGGTGGACATCACTCGATGTCTCTTCAGTGCTTTTGGCAGCTTGTGTAATACAAGTGCATCTAGAAGTAAAAGCTATCGGGTGAGCAAGTATTAACCAAAAGAGGTCCTCAGTAAACAAGTCTTGCCTGAGATATATCTTTAGCTCCTAAAAAGGTTAGTCTCCTTCTCCAGTAGACTGTGCCTCTTTCAGTGTTCCCTGTATTGTTTATTTGGGGAGTATGTGTAACTTATCTCCCCGCCTCCCCCCTTCCTGTTTTGCAGGAGCACTTGATCTTCACTGTTTGCTTATGCTATGAGTACCCAGGAATAGAAGATACAATGGATGAAAGAAAGGAAGTTAATGTTGGGAAGCCCCTTATTGCTAAACTAGGCCTTCATCATGGATTCAAAAATAGTAACTGTCTCCAGACCTGTTGCATGGCTAATAATCCTTTTCATAATCAAGTAGAATCAAGTCTAGTGGCAAGTAAATACTACGTCCCTAGTCACCACCAACCAGATTCCTGCCCCAGCACTTACAATCCAAACCGTATGCGCTCAGATGGCATCAGATCACCAGAGGCGTGTTCTTGCAATGGGACTTCAGGGATATTAGCTTCAAGACATGAAGTACAGAATTACCCACCCCCTGTGGAAAACAGTAATGTACCAGTAGAGACCACTGATGATACTGTTGAACTGGAATTCCTTCTCTCTGACAACCTCAGATTCTCTAAACAGCAGTAGCCATGATGTGTTCAGAACAGACCAGAGTATCATCCTTGAACAGGGAAGCTTCCACACTGCTTATCCATCTTCTGGAGTTTGAGGGCTGTGGGACAAAGGGGTTGGAGGGTCCAGAAGAAGTACTGGGAGTGAGGTTATGATGAAAACTTTTCAGATCCAAAGGGACAAGATTGGACTGATAAGATTTAGGAATGAATAAGGCACGATTTTTTTTTTTTTTTTTTTGCCTCCTACCATTTGAGGTTTGGCACAGGGAAAAACCTGAGCTCCTCAGAGTTTCCTATTCCGTTCGCTGGAGTGAAGCAGCTGACGAACAGAGGCAATGATGCACTTCTGAGAGGAAGCTACCTGTCTCTGTTAGGGCATGAATGTGTAAAAGCCTCATTGTGGTGTCAGAGTTTCTCTTAAGATAGTAAAGCCTTGGATCTTCCCAGCTGCTTGTCCAGTACCTACTAGAGTTACAAGATACTGTAAATGTATTTTTTGTAAGTCTTCTGTTTTCAGAGAGGAATTGCTCACCTGTACAAAACCAAGATAAACATATATAGCTGTCAGAGGGAAAAATGTTGACAGAATTAAGCAGGAAAATTAATTTCCATGTCCTCTATGATTTAACATAATTTAAAAAAAAATCCATTAGCCCCAAATGATAAATACACCTTTCTCTCTTCCATCTTGCCTTTTCAGTTGTTCAATATGCAGATGTTCAATATCAAAATTTTTTTCATACTGCATTAAAATAAGGTTTTATGTGTTTATGTTGTACCCGCGTCCTATTGAGTGTATAAGACCACACATAACATAAATGAACGGAGCAAAGAGGGAGCTTTTACAGAATGTCACGGGCTGAGGCTGGGCCGGCCACTAA